GTGTGTGTGTGTGTGTGTGTGTGTGTGTGTGTGTGTGTGTGTGTGTGTGTGTGTGTGTGTCTGTGTGGTAGGCGCTTTCCAAAGAGATCGAAATAGGCGAGGCAACATGATAAAAGAGTTCTTGGACTTGAATTGCCACAGGACAGGTAGATCATTTAAATGTGCCACAAAGAGAAACTCTTTCCCCTTGAAATATCATTCTTTGAAAAACCTACCCTTATCATCAACTAAAACTTTACGAGGGGGAAACAGGTGGCTATTCTTTAAAATGTCAACAAATAGAGGACAAAGAACAAAAAAGAAATAGCGACACTAAAAGAAGAAAGAAAATGGTTAAATAAAACTTTTTGTTTGGTTTTTATTTTTTTGGTAAGTGTATATAGGCGCGCGCGACACATTAACCTTTTCTCAGTTCTTAGGAAATTTTGATTTTTGCCCAGGTGACGTCCGAAGCCTACTCTTATCGATTTTAGACCACTAAGGGATCTTTAACGCCTGCAACTTGCACACGGGCCCTCCGAGATTTTTCTCTCTTCTCCGTGAAGGCTAGGTGTAGATCTTTCCTTACAGAAGATCAGGGGTGTGGCTGAAAGACAGCAGTAGTAAGAAGGAGCCAAGGAGTAGCAATAGAAAGGTTGCAGAAAGAGCCAGAAGCCTAGAGGAGGCGGCAAAGGAGGTGAGGGGATGAGAAGACGAAAACAGACGACAGAACATTGCCAGAGAGCACGAAAGGAGGTGAAAGTAGACAATTTTAGAGAAGAAAATGTTTCGGTCTCTACCCGGATTCGAACCCGAGACAGTCGAATGAGAGTCCAACACCATAACATCTAGGCCACAAGAGCTCCCAATCAAAACTTTAAAAATCATGCATAAGACATAAGTCAAAGCTCAGTGAAATGCAGTCCGAACAGTAGCTCGTTATAAAGTTTGAGCATACTATAGCCCTTTCAATGGGCTTCTCATTATAGGATGCTAATGGTGCCACTTCTCAATTCTGGATAGCTCATGAATATGCACAACGTAATAATTGTGTCGGTCGGTCGGAGAGATCTCGTGGGTCATAATACATTATACAGTTCTCTTTTCGTTTCAGTTGGGACTGGACTAGCACTATCACTATGCAGATTTGTGACTCCGAGTCGAAAACAATTATGTTAACAGATTCTGAGTTTCCCCTTCCCCTGAAGAATAAATAGCAGGGATTACATAAGCGTGGAATACATAATTATGGTTGTAGGGGTACGGTCACAGTTAAAAACTGCATGGTTGGGACAAGGGAAAACAGTGTGTTCAGCTAAAAAAATTTTTTAAAAAAAGCATTATAAACCGTCCTCAGTGGGTTGATCGTTTTTTTCCGTTGTTGTTGCTGCTGTTGTTGCTGTTGCTTTTGCTGTTGTTGCAGCTGCTGCTGCTGTTATAGTATTGCTGTTGTTTTTGTTGTTCTTATCCTGACATGAAAGGAAAGAGAGGGGCAGTGTTGTGTTCAGAGAGTGATTAGTTTGTAAACCTAATATACTTTTAAAATGTCCGCCTTACGGAGTTAATTCTAGAGATTTCTTTATAGGTTCACCCTAATCCAATGTTCGTTGTTTGTTTTTGTACGTGTTTTACGGCGCTCGCAACTGCATAAGGTCATATGAGCGCGCGGGACACACCTAATATTTTTTCAGTTGGTAGGAAATTTTGAATTTTGCCCGAGTGACGGCCGAAGCCTACTCTTATCGATTTTAGACCACCAAGGGATCTTTAACGTGCACAATTTGCACACGGGACCTCCGAGATTTTTCGCCCTTGTCTGAGAAGGCTAGGTGTAGATCTTTCCAACCAGAAGATCAGGGTGTGGCTGAAAGACAGCAGTAAGAAGAAGCGAAGGAGTAGCAGTAGAAAGGCAGCAGAAAGAATCAGGAGCCCAAAGGAAGGGGCAAAGGAGGTGTGGGGGTGGGGGCAGAAGGAGGAGACGAAAGCAGACGACAGAACATTGCTAAAGAGCAGGAAATGAGGTGAAAGGAGACAAATTTAGAGAAGAAAATTTTTCGGTCGCTACCCGGATTCGAACCCGGGACCTTTTGAGTGAGAGGCCAACATCTTAACCTCTAGGCCACCAGAGCCCCCTATCCAATGTTCTCTCTAGATAGATAGATAGATAGATAGATAGATGGATAGATAGATAGATAGATAGATAGATAGATAGATAGATAGATAGATAGATAGATAGATAGATAGATAGATAGATAGATA